GAAAAAAACAGGTTTTTTTCCGAGCTTCAAAATTTCCGGAAATTTTACATCTCTAAGTGACTAGTAGCCACTCAGTGCATCTGTCTAACCCCCCAGCTGCCTAGGCCTGTGGCCATCACCACATCCTCTGGCAGCGAATTCCATGTTTTTATCCCTCTCTGGGTAAAGCAGTATTTTTCTTTATACGCGTGTTGAGTAATTCTCAGGTTACATTCCACGTATGTACAGCTGAACATGGGATTTAAATCCTACCTTTGTCCAGGTACTGGTCCCTGGTTTCATTTGTAAAGTGAGCACACCTGGACTCTTTTTGCAGATGCAGTGAATGTGTGTATGCCATACCTTTTATGTGCATACCTCTAATTTGGGAATGGGGCTAGTTACTTTCTGTGTTGAGAAGTTGGTCTGATACCATTCGATCTCTATCTGATTCCTAACTAGGGCTACGGTCACACGGAACATTAGCCACGCTAGAGAGACGGAAGATAGGTGGATTTTCCGGGCACGATCTCACCGCCACATCTGGGAAGCGGCGAGCTCCCGTGGCTCACCTGAGGCTTCCCGCCAAAGATGCGGGGTAAAAAACTAGTACCTCCGAGGTACTAGTTTCCGGTAACCGCGGGGCAAGGGCGGGCGTCTGATCGCGTTTCCAATGGCATCCGGCGCCTGCCTATGTCCTCTTGCAAAAAAGTTTTTTTCCCCAAAGTCTCCATGGATGCGCACAGGCACCCAATGAAGCATGCGCATACTTTGGTGTACAGAAAAAAACAAACCCGTTTGCCGCACCGCACTACTTCTTTGCCGCGCCACAGGATTGTCCTGTGATCGGCACCTCCCCCCTACCCACGGGACCTCCATGGGACGTCTCATTGCGCAACTGCGCGTTATTTTGCCCCAGGGCGAACAGCCACGCCTGGGCACCTGGAGATCTCCTGCTATGACAATTGATCTCCAGGCAACAGAGTGCAGTTCCCCCGGAGAAAATGGCTGCTTTGGAGGGTGGACTCCGTGGCATGATTCCCTGCGGAGGTTTCTCTCCTCCCAAAACCCCGCCCTCCCTGGGCTCCAACCCCCAAATCTTCAAGTGTTTCCCAACCTCGCCCTGGCAGCCCTGTTCCCAACTCTGCAGCCTGTCCTCTGGGATTCTCCCAGGGAAATAGTTCATTAAATGAGTATAGCTCCCCCCTGGGAGTCTGTCAGTATTTTGTCGCATGACGCAGAGAGAGTGACTTGCCTTAAAGGCACCTGGTGTGTTCATAGCTGAGGTAAGATTGGAACTCAGGTGCTTCTCAACTCGGGGCCGCAGTGGCTCAGAGGTTAAGGCGCTGAGCTGCAGACTGGGAGGTCGGTAGTTCGGCAGTTCGAGACTCGTCGGATGTTACTAATTTCCCGTTATCTTCTTCCTTCACTTCAGTATTTGCACTGTTTATTTGAAAATAAAATAGTCCACAGTTGGCCTTCAAAAAAGGGGTGTGGACTTTTGTGAGGGACGGCTCCCTTCAAATACACATTTCTGAATCTAGTCCGATCGTTTCAGAGGGCGGCCGGATCGGTCTGCGGCGGAACCATTGAGGCTGAGTCCAGGAATCACCTTAGAGACCCTTCAGGGTGTCTGGAAAAGGGAGGTTGGACTCTCACAAGCTCATACCCTGAGTCTCTTGTGGGTCTCTAAAACGTTACTGGACTCAATTTCGTTGTTTCCTTAACTGAAAATTGTTTTCTCATTCAGGACCAGCAGAGGGCGCCTCTGCTTTGGCGCAAGCCGTTTTTAGGGCTTTTTCTGGCCCAGGGAGTTGAACAGGATTTCCCACATTCATTCTGTAAGCAGATGATAACTTAAGAAAGAAGGTAACATTTAGCGAAGGAGCAGTAAAGTCATACCTGACTGTGACTTTGGCTCCCCTGATAGGGTTGCCAACCTCCAGGCAGCACCTGGAGATCTTCTGCTATTACGGCAGATATTAAATACTGGGTTCCGTGGATGGCTTAGTGACCAGCTCACGCTTTATTAGTGACTCAGCCAGAACAATGCAATGACCCAGGGCAACAGCCTTTTTTAAATAGCATGCAAACACCACCCACTCCCCAAAGAACTACTAACAATAGGCCATTGTCAGACCAATAACGTCCTCACTGGCCACCTCCAGAGTCCTGGTAGGCTATTGTCCTAGAGCTCCAAGCTTAGCCCGTCTCTGCTAAAAACAGTCCTGGAATGTTCCAGTCCCAATACATAGCAACAGAGATCAGTTCCCCTGGAGGAAATGGCAGCTTTGGAGGGGGACTCTATGGCACTGTACCCTGCTGAGCTCCCTCCCCAAACCCCGCCCTCTCCAGGCTCCACCCCCAAAATCTCCAGGTATTTCCCAACGCGGAGCTTGGCAGCCTTCGTACCCATTAGCATGACCGAGTTGGGGGGGGGGGTGCAGTCACAGAAGGCTGCAGATTGATGGGGAAGGAAGGGAAGTTGCCTCTCTATAGCACGGAGGCAGCTGGCCTTTTTCCCCCCGACAAGAGCTACTTCTGTGTAATGAGAAATATCCTGCGTCCCCCTACCCATGCGCGCGTGCACACACACACTACCCAGTTCTGTTCTGTCCTAGAAACAGAACGTGGACTAGGAAGAGCACCAGAAATGAAGCTGTCAGCTAAGCAAGACAGAGAAAAATCTTATGACATATGGTCATTTTATGATCTTTCACAGGGTCTTCTAGGGCAGGGGTGTCAAACATGCGGCCCGGGGGCCAGATCGGGCCCCCGGAAGGCTTCCATCAGGCCCGCAGTGGAACTGGCCATCTCCTGCTTCCAGTTCTGCTGCTGCTGCTGCATCGTAGCTTGCTTTGCCAGACTCTCTGAATCACTCAGCCATTTCATGTTTTAACCTGGGTCCTAGACTCACAGCCCGGAGCATGAGATTTCTGTGGCGAATGTCAGTAAATCAAAAGTGGCTTTGCAGCTTACAGGGCTAATGTTTTAAGCATATTTTTTATTTTAAGTAAAAAAAATCTTTTGTGTTTGTGTCCTTTATAAAGTTTATATCTCTGCTACCTGGCATTGCATTTTATGACACCCATGGCTCCACCCAACAATGGAACTCCAGCTGACAGAGATCAGCTCCCCTGGAGAAAAGGGCTGCTTTAAAGGGTGGTCTCTGTGGCATTGGGCCATGCTGAGGCCCCTCCCCACGACTCCCTTTGCACTGCTTGGGATTCAAGCCACACTTCCAATGTAGGAGGACCCACATGTTTTACTCAGCTGTTCTCAGAGTCTTGGGTATTTTTTTTCAGCCGTTTCAGTGACTGTGGTAGTCGTACTTTCTCCCCTCCCCCTGAGAAAGTCCCACATTGACCAGTGCCTAAACCAGTCATTCCCAAATGGTGTCTTGTGAGAAATATAGAGAGAGCCAATTTGGCGTAGTGGTTAAGTGCGCGGACTCTAATCTGGGACAACCAGGTTTGATTCTCCCCTCCTACACATGCAGTCAACCTTGAGTCAGTCATAAGTTCTGTCAGAGCTGTTCTCTCACAAGCAGTTGTCGAAAGTGGTCTCTCAGGGTGCCTGTTGTGCGGAGGGGAAGGGAAAAGAGTTTGTAAGCCGCTCTGGAACTCCAAGTGAAGGGCGGGGTATAAATCCAATCTCTTCTTCTTCTTCTCAAATAAAGATGCATCTGAGCCCAAAGGACCTATGTGCAAATTATCTTCTTAGATTGGTGGAGAACAATTCTGTCAGTGCCTACTAGCCACGGTGACTAAAGGGAACCTTCACATTCAGATGCAGCCAACCTCTGAATCCCAAAGCCAGGAGGCAGCATCCGGGGAAGGCCTCGACCTCTATGCCCTGTTGTTGGCTGTCCTGAGTAACTGGTTGGCCACTGTGTGAGACAGGGTGCTGGACTGGACAGACTACTGGGTCAGGTCCAGCAGGGCTCTTCTTCTTACGCTGACCACTCTGATCAAACAGTGATTCTCTCCTCCTGCCTTCTTTCCTTCTAGTCACTACACGTTGAACTTCTGAGATTCCACACTGAGTGGGATCAGATCCTTCCACCAATTACCCGACTTCAGAGGAGGCACATCTAGAACAGTGACTTGCTTAGGAACACCGGGAGAAGCTTCTCTGGGGTGGGCAATTCTAGCAGCATCTTCTGCTGGGGACTTTCTAGACAAAGCTTCCCATCTTCTGGTTAATCTGTTGTCCTGGGGAAACAGTTGAGAGGTCTGTTTTGAGTAGGCCTGTCTTTGTGATACTCTTCCATATTTCGCTGCATCTTTGCGGGAAATTGTGTTGAATTATGAGATTGACTTCAGCTTTTCTGTGTTTCCCAGAAAAGGAGCAATCGATAAACCGAGCTGATGTTATCCAAGAAGATGTTCAGCCTACAGGTATCTCTAAATGCTCACTTGGAGGGGTGTGCTTGTGTAAATAATGTTGTCCTCGCTCTGAACAGTCTGTGAATAATGTTGCCCTCGCTCTGAACAGTCTGATCCTAAGCAGGCTTACTCACAAGTAAGTGGGATGGATCCAACCCTTGTCATTTCACCACAAAGTTTGAGGCCATCCTCCGAGCTACTTAAGTTGGAGGAAACCTCCTTGGAGGATGGTTGGACCTGCTCCACTCTGTTTAGGATCCCACCCAAAATACACTTCAGTTCATTTTTTAAATGTGCGACTAAAGGGTTTCCTTTAAAGACGGGCTGTTTCCAATGAGATATTTTGCATGTAGATGATGGATATCCCAGTACACAGGTCATGGATCAAAAACAAAAGGCACTTGCAGGTATTTTTAATTTTTTTCATCTTATGACCATGTGTGTTTTAAGGAGAAACAGGGCAAAATAAGTCATGTAGGAGCCACTGCCTCTTGTCCCACAACATCGATACTTTCTACTCAGGTGTTCCTATTTAGTGTTGTAAGAACTGGCCCTCTTTTTCCTCTTGAATGGAATTTGAAATATTTTGCATTTTATTGGTATGTTTCAGGCAACAGTCCAGTTTGAATTAATAACACTGAAGTAATGTTATCTGGCACATACCGACAGAAGGATTTGCGGTAGGCCAGCTGTCTTAAAAGAAATATTTTTTTGCAAACAGTCCCTATATAGAAATTTTTTACAGGAGGTATTGATTTTCTTCTGCCAGTTTGGTGTCGTGGTTAAGTGCGCGGACTCTAATCTGGGAGAACCGGGTTTGATTCCCCACTCCTCCACTTGCACCTGGCTTGGATGACCTTGGGAAAGCCATAGTTCTGATAAGAGCTGTCCTTGGAAAAGAGCAGTTTCTGTCAAGAGCTCTCTCAGCCCCACCTACCTCCCAGGGTGTCTGTTGTGGGGAGGGGGAGGGAGAGGTATTGTAAGCCACTCTGAGACACCTTTGGGTAGTGAAAGGCGGGGTAGAAACCCAGTCTCCTCCTCCTCCTCTTCCTCCTCTTCTTCCTCTTCTTCTTCTTCTTGTGTCGTACAAAGTTAATCTTGTTTGTTTGTTCATTAACTGGTCTCTGGTGCTTTTCATTAATCTCCCCAGAAAATCCTCATATAAGCCCAGTTTTCTGGAAATCAGGCATACCCCGTGGTTATGTTCACTAGGTTTCTTTCTCTCTCCTCTCATGCCTCCTGTCGCTAAGTTTATGCAGGAGCCTCACGGAGTAAGGTTTTTAAAGAGCGACTGCTGTAAACAATTGCTAATCTGACGCGTGGGCATTCTGTCGATTCTCTCTAGGGTCAAGAGCCAGTTTTTCACACTACCATTTCCCCCATAGCCAAGGGGGTGGAATAGGGAACACCGAGCTCCATTTTAAGAAGGAGATCATCCATTATTCTAACCCGACGGGGCAAACGGCTGTGGTTGTGGGGTATGATCCTCCTGCCTCTGCCCATGTCGAAAGCATGCTGAGCTTCTCTGTAGATGCCAAGAGGCCCCTCCCTTACTCTGCTGTCTTGCACCCGGGTAGCTGCTGCTGGGTAAAGCAGGAGGACAGTGGCTCATAAGGCTGTTGGGAAGAAAGTCCCCGGGGAGTGCAGAAGGCTCTGTAGCAAGGTGAATGGGAGGGCCACAGTGCTGTGGAACACTAACCCCGTGCTAGAAAAGAGCAAGAGTCCAGGAGCACCTTAAAGGCTAACAAAATCTGTAAGGGCTGCGGTGGCTCGAGTGGTCAAGATGCTGAACTGGAGACCAGAAGGCCGGTAGTTCGGCAGTTTCAAGACCCGAGTGTGCCACAGGACGGAGTGAGCTCCCGTCCCTGGCCCAAGCTCCTGCCAACCTAGCAGTTCGAAAGCAAGACATTGCAAGTAGATAAATCGGTACCGCTTCGGTGGGAAGGTGACAGCGTTCCGTGCACGTCAGTATCTAGTCATGCCGGCCACGTGACCACGGAGAAGTCTTCGGGCAGCGCTGGCTCTTCGGCTTGGAAACGGAGATGAGCACCGCATCCCTCGAGTCGGACTTGACTGGCTTTCGAGCAAGGGAAACCTTTAACTATGGGCTTCCGTGGGTCGCTGCTCACTCCTCCAGTTCTGAAGAAGGGAGCCCTGACTCGTGAAAGCTCCTCCCCTGCCACAAATTTTGTTAGTCTTCAAGGTGCCACTGGATTCTTGCTCTTTTCTACTTCTGCAGACAGACTAACACGGCTGCCCATCTCGCTCTAACCCAGTGATGAGAGTGATAGTCGTTTCTATGGGGTGTCTCTGTACACTGCCCCTCCCACGTCCAGACTTGACAGAATTACTCCCCTGGTTCCGAAGTCTGAACCGAAAAACCCACATCCCCCCTACTTCCGAATCAGTGCTCGTCAGACTGTTCAACATCTGACTTCTGGGATTCGTGCTGAAAATGTATGAGAAAACGATCGGTGCAGTTTGTGCGCTTCCTGATAACGCCAAAGAAATTATGATGTGGATCCCATGGTAAATTTTTGCTAATGCTTAAAGGAGGCTACTATTGGCCGGGATCTCCTCTTCCAGCCACAGACCTCTGGTTCTCCCCTTGCGTTGTTCCTGGGAGTCCTCTGAACCGTGGGAGCAGAGTTTTGGGTGCCATTTTGGGCTGCAGGGGGAGGGGGAAGTCCTGTTGATGGAGAGGCCTTTGCTGAGATTTACCAGGGACTCCGAGCCAAAGTCATCATTCAAACATTCCAATGCCCTTTTAAAATCTGCGTTTTATTTGTGTGGTTTTTTTTGTACCCTAGGACTAAAAGTATGGTCTGATCCATTTGGAAGAAAGTAAAGGCCTCAGTGGGTGGTGTCTTGAAGATGGCTGCCCTTTCCTTATTCCACTAATAGTGCACCACGTTCTTCTAATCCACGAAGATAATGCAGAACATATTCGGCGAGTCGGGTTTGTTTTGCAGTGTCTGCTTATCTAATGTGGGTCCCCCCCCCCCCACCACTCCAGCGGTAGAGGAGCAAACGGCATTGAATGTTTTCTTCAAAGCAGACGGAATCCGTTTTCACTGAAGAAAGGGAAGAGGTTTCGCTTTTAGAAACCAGAGACAGTCAGAGTAAATTATGCAACCGGTGTTTCTATAAATGTGTGCGGACCAGCCGGACGTCTGCAAAGGAGAAAAGTGTTGCTTCTCTGTGTGTATAAATGATGTTTTCATTCAAACCGGATGTGTTCTCCGATTAATCTGTCTCATAAATAAAAACGGAACAGATCATATTAATACGCATTTGGCTCTGATGTGAAGTTGGTGTACTCGAAAGCCACTCTTACTGGATTTTTGGGTGTTTGCTTCGAAGTGAATATACTGCGGCTAAATTCTTTGAGATGGGGCCTGCTTATGGCAGGAGATGCAGGTCTGAATTCCCTGGGGAGGAAAAAACTAAATTTTAATTCTCTTCACTGCCTCCGAATGTTGGGCGAAAGCAAAGGGCACTGTTTTGTGTCGATGAGGGGAATGTTTAATCTGTCCATTTTAATTTTGTAATGAGAGAACGGGCAGAATGATTCACTCTGATCTGTGGGCGTACTGTTCGAAAACAAAGTTTTGAAACGGTGGTCTTAGCTCATATTTAGCAGTCAAATCTTTTGTATGATTTCGTTACAGCCGTGTCTTTCCCCCCCTGAAATCTTCATGGTGTGGTTTGTATAGGAAACTTGGTGAGCTGCTTTTAAACAAATAACCAAAAGGTTGAAACCTTACTGTGTCATATTAATATAGTTCATATACTAAGGTATATAAGTACCATCCCCTAGGTATGTATATATGTAACCAAAATTGATGGATTTTGATGCACGGTTTTTAATATTTACAATTGGATTAAAGTTTTTGTGATTTGATATCATTTCTGCTTTTTTGTCATCGATGCTGATATTTTCATGGACAAGGTTTTTCTTCCCTTTCCCAGTCTTTTTGGTTACCTGGTTATTCTGGGTTGAAATATCCCCTCCACCACCACCAGTGTTCCCTCTAAGCTGAGTTAATGTGAGCTAGCTCAATTTTTTAGCCTCCGGCTCACACATTTTTGTCTTAGCTCAGGAAGGAGTGCTCCAGACCAAACTAACTTATGCAGCAGCCAAATCGCTTGCTGACAACTGTAATGCCGGTAGCTCACAAAGTAGAGTTTTTGCTCACAAGACTCCACGGCTTAGAGGGGGCATTGCCCCCCTTTGTTCATTTAAGCCAGGAGTCCCCAACATGGTGCCCGCAGGTGGCATGGCTCCAGCTGATGCCTTTTCTGGCTCCTGCCAAGTGTTTTTAGGAAGCAGGCGAGGCCGGGGGTGGGGCTTTTGCTCACCAAGGCTTCTGATTGGCTGTGCAGATTTCTTTAAAATGTTGCTTTGGCAGCAGCTGCCCCCACAGCACTGTCAGCAAGCTGCCAATGTTTTCTTTTATTCTTTCTGTGTGCGCTTGCTTGCTTTCACTTTCACATGTAGAACTGTTGATGTGCATAATTGCTTAGCCTGCCGAAACGTCTATATCCCTCAAGGCCACAGGTGGTTGCCGCTGCTTGTTAGTTGCCGGAGGCTCTCACGAAACACCTTGAGAAAGAGATAACATATGCTGCCTAGAAGCGTTTGCTCCCAGGCTCCCCCCTCAATCTGAACAGTAATTTTGTCCATGCACCTATAGCTTCAAATAAAGTAAAACCTTTCTACAAGTGTGTACTTCGTTGATGCTGTGGGAAGTCTGACACGCACAAGGATCTGCCCTGTATGGCTGAAGTGAAGCCGTGGCGGTCATTTTGTGGCCGGCTCTGCCTCCTGCAGCAGCCATTTTGTGGCAGCCATTTTGTTGCTGCACCCACCGTGCCATGTCAGAATTTCAAATGTGCCTGTCGTCTCAAAAAGCTTGGAGACCCCTGGTTCAAGCCATTTTAAAACTCCCGTAGCCTTGGAACTGAAGGCAACAGCTAGCTTACTTTTGTAATATCGGAGCCACTCTCGTCTGTGGACTGTGTCACGGGCTGGGCTTGGGCTGAGAGGCAGAAGTCGAGTCTGGTCCGAGGTTGCTGCCGGGAGAGTCTGAGCGAGAGCCGAATCGGGAGTCCCAAGGAGGGGTCGTCCGGAGCAGGGGTCAAGGAGCCGGGAGTCCGAGCCAGAGTGGGGGTCCGAGGACAGGAGCCGAAGGTGGATGTGAGACACTTACGGAGGAGACGCGTTGCTTCCACGAGATCCCAATCCTGAGTTGGAGTTATATAGGCCTCTGGCTGGGCTTCCCGTAGTGGCGGCGCCGCTCCTGCTCATACTCAGGACTTGGCGCTCGCCTTCCCTGCCAGCGTGCATCTTGACGGCGGGGGGCTGAGTCTGCGGAGCCGCTCCCTTAGCTGAACCACCTGCAGAGGTGAGTCAGGTGGGCTCCCCGATTGCCTCTGTGCCTCCTCAGCTGCTGCAGGTGTTGAGGTTACAGGCGCTGGCGGCGGCAAGCTGACAACTCCTGAGGAGTCAGAGGGGCTGGCTTCTGGTTCTGACAATGCCAGCCCCTCTGGCTGCGATGCCAACGCAGGAGGGGACTCAGTGCCGTCGTCATTACCGATGACAGACTGCAGCTTAGAGGCCATAAGTGTGTGTTGCTGCCACGCAAGTTATCTCTAAGAAGTACAAGCTTTGTAATAAAGTTTGTGCTATCTTATCGGGTGGGAGGTTTGGGGGCAGGGCCATGGGGGCTATGATATTGCATGTGCTGTTGAGTCAGCTTTGGGGAAAATCCAGAACTGACATTGGGGTAGCTCTAGGAATCAGCGAAAACTATATGGTAAGACAGCGCTCCATCAGATTGCGAAATTTTGCTCCTTGGTTGTAAAAGCTCAATCAGTGCCCTGGTTGTCACTCGGGTTAGGACTGTTTGATTTTAACTTTTACTGTTCCCAAGTCATCTTAGTTTATTTCTTTTTACCGTGTTTTATTGCAGTGTAATCTTAAGTCTGGTTTTAGCGACCAAAATGATTGTACAAAGTTATTTCTTAGTACCTAGTTGCACTTTGGAAATTTTACTATTAGGCCATTGTAATTTATTTTTATTTCTATGGTTTTATATTGCTGGCTAAGCGCCGTAACAATAAAATTCATTCATTCATTCATATATGGTAAGACCATAGAGTTTCTGACAGCTCCTAGAGCTCCCCTCCATCATTTCCAGTCTTTCCCAAAAGGGATGTAACGGCACACGTCACATCACCATTTTTAAACGTTTTTCTCAGTGGTGGGCTACAGGATCCAGGGGGGCAGGGGATTTCCTACCCCAGCTGGGAGACTGGCAAGCCTATAGTAAGGGCTTTGCTTCCATGACTGTATGTGCTGTGACATAACATGGGGGTGGATCCAACGATCGTCTAAGGAGTCTTCCTCCAATAAAAAGCCACTTAAGTTGGAGGAAGTCTTCTTAAGCTGGAAGAAGGTTTCAAATGTTGCTCAGCGGAGTGGTAGGATGGGGAGGGGATAGGATCTACCCCTCCATGTATAAATATGAATGGTGGAAGCACAGAAATCAGGGTTTGGGGAGAGGGTGTTGACGGGTGGGCCAGGCCCATATTGGGTTTTGCAAAGGAAGTTGGCTTCCAGGGGAGGCGCAGGCACAGAATTTGAAATGAGACCAGGTCCAGTAACCGCTGGTGAACTGAAGAAACAACTGCTGCACAGTTATCTGTCCCGGGAACAAGATAATCCGGACACATTTATCAGCAAAAGTCACTCAATAGTTTAGACATTTTCTTCTCTTTTTTTTTAACCGAGAAAGGACCCCGTTTGGCTTGTGTTTGTTTTTAAACTCCGAATCGCTTAGGGGAAGCGTCCTCCCAGTGCCCTCTGGCAATGATTAACTGCCATTTTTCCCAGAACTGTGTACAGTCAGTCTGACATCAATTAGGCCGCTACGCAGGCCGACGTAAACGAGGCGCGTGGCCTCGGCCGGGCCCACACCAGAGTGCAATAACATGTTTTGCTAATGGGAGGTCAACCGGGATTGGGAAACGGGGCCTTTCCAGGGTCCTTAGGGAGTAGCAGGTGGCGCGTGTGGGCGGGGGAGAGGTAACAGGCTAAATTAGCGGGCGGAACCAAAGATGTAGGCGCCGGTCGTAAAAATGGGTACAGAATTCAGGCTCTGCATGCACACCCTTGGCTTTCTGTCCGTTTTTGGTAAGTCAGTCATTTTGGCGTTGCACAAATGAGGGACGCCGGCCTCCAGGTGGGGCCTGGGGATCCCCCAGAATGACGGCTCCTCTCCAGACCTACAGAGACCGGTTCTCCCGGAGAAAAGGGATGCTTTGGAGGGGGGACTCCCTGGCCTTGTGCCCCACTGGGCTCGCTGTCCTCCCCAAGCTCCACTCCCAAATCTCCAGGAGTTCCCCAACCTGGATCTGGTATCCGTACCCCCACATGGATGCCAGATCCAGGTTGGGGAACTCCTGGAGATTTGGGGGTGGAGCCTGGGGAGGACAGGGACAAGCTCTATGGTGGAAGCCAAACTTACCGTAGAGTTTTTGCCCAAATACCAGAGCGTCACCCTGGCATCCTGGACATGATGATGTCACTTCAGGGTGATATGGGCAGTGAGATGGACACATCGCCATGTGTCAGATGGACCTCCCTGGTGCTCCCGCCAAGTCACACACACACACCCCTGCATCCCCTGCCAGCTGCAGCCCTAGGGGTCCCTAACCTTGCTAAACCTTTGTGTGCTCGTGGAATTTTCAAAACAGATAATGGTTGCTGCAGTAAAATGGCTGCCACGGGGTGGGAGGAGAGACCAGTCATCAAATGCCACCATGAGGGTTTGGTCCAATCACAAAAGGTTGGGAGATCCCCTGAAACGTTAGGAGATTCTGAGTTTAGCAGCCTTCGAAGATGGATGCAACTCTTTCCAAAACGAGTGCTTCTTGATGTGATGCCCCTGGGGTCCAATGCTCCCTCTGAGCCGTGGAGTCTTGTGAGCAAAAATTCTACTTTGTGAGCTCCTGGCATTAAAGCTGTGAGCGAGCGATTTGCATAAATTAGTATGCCCTGGAGCCCCCCTTCCTGAGCTCAGACAAAAAATGTGTGAGCCAGAGGCTAAAAAACTGAGCTAGCTCACACTCAGCTTAGAAGGAACACTGCTGGGGGTCTACTGAAGGACTTCCTGCTCCAATGAGGTGGAAGAAAGCCATGTTGGGCACTTTGGGCCGGAAGGGAGTGGGCCCCGCCACATTGAGGACCTCTATCTTAGGTCCTTTCTAACCGTCCAAACATCACTAGTGAGGGGTCAACTAGCCAGGCTTTGTGTACTGTTGTTACTACAACCGGTGACCCCGTACGGATGCTGTTTCTTCTTGCAATATTTGTATGTTGCCAGAATGGTTCTCCGAGAAGTTTGCTCCTCAGCCCGGTGGCCCTAAAATCCGAACAAGTTTCAGTGTGAGTCCACTGCTAAAATTGCACTGGCTTCTTCCTACCACACCAGGAGTTTGCGGTTTCCCCCTTTCTAGCTAGTGACTCATTTGGTTTTCGATGGTGGGGAGATGTGTGTTTAACCTCCTGGCCACCTTCCCTCCTTGCCCACACCGACAAACCGCACTCACCGGGCTGGGAGTAGAGCCCGTTTGCTGGGTGTCGTGTCTCCGCCTGCGCATACAAATAGGTGACTTCCGTTTTCCAATGCGTGGGAGGACATTTTACTCTTGTGGCTTCGTAGAAGACTTCTGTAGCCCTTGAAGGATCGGAAGGCCAAAGGTTTCAGTCGCTTCCTTTGCCAACCCCCAATGCCAGTAAAGCTAACAAAGGTGCTCCAGTGCATATTTGAAGCACCCGTAGGAGCTCTTTTCCTTATCATGGACAATTCTTCATGCATACAAAGAAGAAGCCCGAAG